GGCTGGGCCAGGCCAAAGCCAGGAGCCAGGAGCCTCATCAGGGTCTCCCATGTGGGTGGCAGACTACCTTCTGCTGCTTTCTCAGGTGCATTAGCAGGGAGCTGAATTGAAAGCTAGGACTCAAACCAATACCCAAATGGAATGCCAGCATCACAGGTGGAGGCTTAACCTACTTCACTACAACATGGTTCCCAAAGTTTAAAGCTTAATTTAAAAAAAAAAAAGGACAAAAAAATAAACTTAGTAATGATTGGCTAATCCAGAGTCAATAAGAGCAATAAGAGGAGATAGATATGGTTACCATGATTTAAACATGACACAAAATATACAGCTGTCAAAATATCATGATACCTTATAAATATATACAATTTCATAGGTGTCAATTTTTTAAGATTTATTTATTTATTTGAAAGGTAGAGTTACAGAGAGAGAAGAAGGAGAAATAGATCTTCCATCCACTATTTCACTCCCAAAATGGCTGCAGTGGCCAGGGCTGGGCCAGGCCAAGGCCAATAACCAGAAGCTTCATTCATGTCTCCCACATGGAAAGCAGGGACCCAAGCACTTGGACCATCCTCCACTGCTTTCCCAGACACATCAGCAGGGAGCTGGATTGGAAGTGGAGTATCCTGGACTAGAACCGGCACCCATATTGGATGCTGGCGCTGCAGGCCATGGCTCAATCCACTGCACCACAGCACCAACATCCCTTATGTGTCAATTTAAAAAGTAAAATAGATAAATAAATGCTTAACCAAAACTGTAAAATAGTATTGTTTTGAATATTTTTCAGTAACCAAGAATAGTTAAATCTTTTTCATTCTTTTACTTAAAAAGAGAGACATGAGTTAGAAATTTTGATACTTCATTGATTTTTTAAGTTCAATTTTTTCACTGAAGTGACTGGTTGTTACACAGAATCTAATTAAATCAACTAGCAATTCAAACTGTGCCTGAATAACATTAAAATAATAGATCAACCTAAAAGGAAAAGTATAGTCAAGCAGATTGGATTCACACATATTTGTTGATTTCTGCTTTTTAACATTTTGCAGCATTCCATTTAAGTCTCAGCAGCAACTCCACAAAACCTCAGACCCATACACAAAGAAGAGTGAGTTTTCCCAACAAGGAGACCTTATTTTTGCTCAATGATTAGCCAGAGATTAAATGCTCTCAGAATTATATCTTTATAGTTGGCTTCTCCACACTAAGCAGAAACCCTGACCAGGCCAAGCAGAATTGCAAAAATACATAATATAAAACGAATAGAAAAAAACCACCAAGACTGCTTCCCTACCAGGAGCCCTTCTCCTTTGTGATAATGTCCCATCCCTGTTCTGTGTTGTGTTGTGTGTGAGTAGAGATATAAATGCCATACCATACTCACACTAGTATTTCTCAGGACTTGAGATCCAAAACCATTCCTAATTCTGTGCTTTACTGATTCCTTTGAAAATATGATGAACTATTTGAATGCATAAAGCTAATGTCTGTTAATGACTTGTCCATTTGACTATTAGATCAGTATCCTAGGGGTCTTGTCAATATGATCAATGAGAAGACTTTCATGTCTACTGTTAGGCTGAGACAAAAAAAATGTCTTTGAATTCTGGGTTCTTTGAATGCTCCTGTGGAAGTTACTATATGTAGGGCTGATTCTAATTCCATAGTTACAAATGCTATTCAAAGGTGAAATTCTGCATTTCAGGGTCAAATATGTCCCAGAGATGCTGACTCAGTGTGACTTAGGAAACTCCAGAACTTGCATTTTGTATACAAAAAAAGCACACAGATGATATTGAGGCACGGTTGAACTAGACTCTGGTTATTAGATCATTACTGAGTTTATTCTGTCACTAAGTGTCTCTGCTATGCAGTAAACTCTTTCTCATCAATACTGAGCGATAAAACACTGCAGTAAGCTGTCTTTTCCTTTCAGTTTTTTTTTTTTTTTTCTAGGCACCAAGACCCATAAGCAGAGATTTTCAGTAGCCAATATAATATTCTGTCAGGGACTAAATCCAGGTTTCATTTTTTTTCTCCAAATATTCACCTTTGATGAATGGGCAACAGAAGCCCTGGATGACTCTACTCCATTACTGAAATGAATAGGCAAGCTTCCTAAAAAGCATCCCTGGCCAAGCCATCAATATTGTAAAAACAAGTTTCCTCTGGATTGCAAAGTACACATCGCTTTCAATTAGAACACCCTGTGCGGCTTTCAGGTGTATGAGTGACTAATTAACAGAGCTTATCATTGCTATCAGAATAAAGTTGCCTTCATTCAAAGCTCAACAAATTTTAACAAGAGTACTTCTGCCATCTAGTGTTCAAAGCCTAGAAAAATACTCTCAGCATTTAGAAGCAAAGAGTTCTTTGTCAGACTTAAATGAGGTTTCACTTTCCAGTGCCAAGGTCAATTCAGAGCTGCTTGGTGAGATAAGAAACAGTATTACATATGGGGGAAATTGTACAACCTTACACTGTCATTAAATGAACTCTCTGGACGCTAATGAATCATTAGATCATTAACATGACCCATTTGTGTGACCCACATTATTACTAAATTCGGCTCCATAAAATATGCTAGCTGAACACCAAATGTTTTTAGAGCCCTATCCATGATATAGGGTGCAGGATATGATTTCCACATAAAGATTATAAACCTGAAAATTTTTGTTGTGCTTTGTATAAATTAATTCAGTATTTCCAGTAACAATAATTTTACTCAACTTTCAATAAGAGGTTACCAGCAAAGACTGCAGAATTTTTGGTACTGAAACTCATATTTCACAAAATATAATTCACATCAAAATGTTCTTTCATATAAAAAGCCCCCTGGTTAACAGCTCAGTGGGCTGTACATACCTACCTCTTGAGTGATAATGACAAAGGTACTTAATCTCTCACCTTGGATATCCCAGCTGGAAAATGATAAGTCTGAAATTACTCTCAAAATCAAGGAGGTAGTGAGAAATAGCTACTGCACACATGCCTCATATAAAAAGAGACAAACGTATTTTGGGGACTATTCCAATGTCCTTTCCTGTAGTAAAGGTAAGAGCTGCAGAGAAATTAATGGAGATAGAGGTAAGTCACTGCGTAATAAATTCCCAGCAAAAAGAACATAAGGAAGATAACTAGGGCTTTCTCTTGAACAATACAATTCCAATTTACTTCAGAAAAATTTTAAAAACAATATCTAAAGCTAATATCTATTTATCATGAGAATTTGCCCAACCATTATTAATGGGAGAAATCTACACCTGACCTTTGTCCTTACTACCATCATTTAGCAATATCAGTTGAGCACACGCTATAAGTCAGGCATTGTGGAATACCTATATATTTGATTTAATACAATGACCCTGAGAAGTGGGAATGAGTTCTTCCAGTTACTAAAGAAGAAACTGACATTCAGAGAAGTTAAGGAACTATATCAAGAAAGCACAGTGAGAAAATGTTGAGTCGTGTGAAAATCAAGTTCTCTTTGATGCCCAAGATTCTTTCCAAAGTCTCACAGCTTTCCAATGGTCACAAGAATGAGAAGAGCACCCAAAGTCCTAGCACCTCCTTCTCCTCCCAAATTAGACTGATGTTTCACACCATGAGCCAGTTGGTTCCTAGCTCTTGTTTCTAGGGGGAAAAAAAGTTTTTCCAAGTTAACCAATGTCTCAAATATTTGACTCATTCTATTTTGTTTATGTTACAGATCCCCTCCTGCTTGCCATAAAGGAGCCAGCTCCAGGGAATGCTACAGACTCCCTCCCGCTTGTTATCAACGGGCCAGCTGGGTCTAGCCAAACCAGTACTGACTTTAGAAGCTGGTTCCCCACCTGCCATACTTAAGACAGGTGTGTGTCTCCTGAAACTGCCTTTAAGTTACAATCTCCTGATTTCTCTATCATGAAACTATCTTAACTTGCAACTGTGATTTGTTAATCACTGAGGGCCTAAGATAACAGTATGCTCCCTGAAATAGCCTTGCTAAATTTAGGGTATAAAAGTAGGGAAAGAGAAGATCTGGGCTTGATTCTTGAGACAGTCGTCTAGTCAAGCCGCATGCATAAATAAACTGTGTACCTTTCCTCCTGAAGTGAGTGCCTTGAGTGCCATTTGGTTTCTTTAGTCATTTATATTTCTTTAGTCATTTATATTGATAGAAATCCATAGTTTCCTGGTTTACATGTATCTCAGCACGAACACATAGAATATCTTTAAGCTAGTGCCATAATTTTATCAAGAGCCTCCTAAAACATATACATTAGGCCACAGGCTAAATCAATTCTGCCCAAGATTAACTTCTCAAAAATACTTATTTTATCTGTCAGTTAAATATTCCAAGGTCTTCAAAATTTTCCTGTGGCTTAGACTAAAGTCTATACTGATTGGCTAAGCATTTGAGACCATCGTCAAACCAATTTTTCACTAGTAAGTAGTCAACCCCTACTCTGCATTTCACGATCCTGCTTTTCGTTTCATTTATAAACACATCAGAACATGCCTGGTTTATACTTCTTTGCTACTTTGCTTGAGAAATTCTTCAGGTCTAAAAGAATCAGCCCTGTCGTTCAAGTGTGCTCAGATGCTCCCAACAATCACAGATTCAGCTTTAGCCCCAACTCTTTTTTGAAAGATTCATCATCATGTTAGTACTCCATGTCACTCTATCCTATGATACCCTACAGATCTTTTTTTTCCCCTCATTCTTTCATGTCTTCTTGTATTAATCTCTAAGAAAAGTTCTACTGCTTTCCTCAAGGGTGAAGATCCATTTCAAAATCAAAAATAATCAAGCAGTAGGTATACATGTCCCTGAAGCAAACTGTTAGTTGGAGCCTGAACAAAAAGGCTATCTTGAAAAGGGTCCTTCACTCCATGGTCAAAACTTCTTTATTATAGGAGCAGGTTCACACTAGCCTGTGTCACCAAGGAGAATGCCATGCACATAAAGTTGCAAAAGGCAGGGTCCTACAGCATTGAATTTCCCAACTGTCTCACATAATAAGCAGACTCTCATCTGCCGTAGACACGTATGGCTTGAGCTGAAGCGGCAAGTCCGACACCACGAACTCCGGAGCCATCTCCTCCACCAGCACGAACCTCCCGCCCGAGGCGCGCACGCCGGTGCCCTTGGCACCGCGGCCCTTGTTGAAGGTGCGCGGCCCGCGCTTGCTCGTCCACTGGCTCATGCGGTCCGCTCCGCGGACCAGGCCCCGGGTCACCGCGGTCAGGATGCCCATGCGTGCCCTGGACGGAGACGCAGCCCGCCGCTCCCACTCGGTCCGTGCAGCGCGACCCTGGCCACCTTTTTTTTTTTTTTTTTAAGATTTATTTATTCATTTGAAATTCAGAGTTGCAGAGAAAGAAGGAGAGGCAGAGACAAAGAGAGAGGGATCTTTTATCTGCTGGTTCACTCCCCAAATGGCCACAACAGCCAGAGCTGGGCCAGGCTGAAGCCAGGAGCCAGGAGCTTCATCTGGGTCTTCCAGGCAAGTGTCAGGAGCCCAGGTACTCGGGCCACTTCTGCTGCTTTCTCAGGCACATTAGTGGGGAGCTGGATCAGAAGTGGAGCAGCTGGGACTCGAACCAGCACCCATACGGGATGCTGGCGTGGCAGGCAGTGACTTTACCCACTACACCACAGCGCTATGGGGTCTAACTATGCCAGGGTATCTCCTAGTCTCCAAATACACATAATCTATCTTTCTCACTCCCTCCCTCTCCTTTTGACTTCCTGTCATTCATTATCCCTAAGTCATTCCCATACACCTACCAGGACTTACCTCCCTTATAAACATGCACCAATGACTGCAGTATTTTACAAAAGAGAAACACATACACTAGGCATAGTATTTTACAAATTGAGTTTTAACATGGATTTAATATGTCACCTATTATGAGAGTTTGTTTGGAGGTTCTAGCAGGGGAGCACAGCTACAGGTATACCCTTGACTGAAGATCACTCCTCCTCTAACGGGGAAGGTCGTCCTCTTCGACCCAGCCCGCAGCTTTGGAGGGAGGTACATGGAACTGTGAGGGAGGAAGGGGACACCCGCCAGATCATCAAATTAACCTTGGTGATCAATGGGGTGACAGATGTCACAGCCAGATTGCCCTCACATCCCACTAGTATATACTCAAAGTAACATTTTTGAAAAAGATTTTATTTATTTATTTATTTGAAAGAGTTACACAGATGAGGTAGAGGTAGAGGGGAGAGGGGGGAAGGGAGGGGCAGAGGGGAGAGGGGAGAGGGGAGAGATCTTCCGATGGTTCACTCCCCAATCGGCTGCAGTAGCTGGAGATGCGCCAATCCGAAGCCAGGAGTTCTAGGTCTCTCAGGAAGTCAAGAGCTTCTTCCAGGTCTCCCACGTGGGTGCAGGGGCCCAAGGACTTGGGCCATCTTCTACTGCTTTCCCAGGCCACAGCAGAGAGCTGGATTGGAAGTGGAGCAGCCAGGACGGGGATGCCGGCGCTTCAGGCCAGGGCATTAACCCACTGGGCCACAATGCCAGTAACCCTTACGAAAAAGAAAACTCTCAACTCCTACTTCATATCACTCTTATACAAATGCTTTTTGTACTACCAATTTTATAAAACATATCCATATTTTATCTATTAAACAGGGACATTCTTTATGGAATAAGGTAAAATACTAATGGAGCAATAACTGCACCCTTCCAAAATTGATCAGTCCATTTCCTGTGAATGATCTTTCTTCTTCCCTTTGTTCTGCTCTATATCATTTGAACTGAGGACCTCATAATTCCATTTTCTCTTCTTTCAGCATATAAATCATACATATTTTAATGTAATTTTAGTGGTTGCCCTAGACTACACAGTATACATTTACAATTCACATTAGAAACAGTGGCTACTGTTACTTCAAATATTTCTTCTCCATCATTCTCTTTCTTCTCCTTCTGGAATTGCATTGCACATGAATTATTCCTCTTGAAATCATCCTACATTTTTGGGATGTTCTGTTTTTTTTTTTTTTTTTTCACTTTTTTTTCTTTCGTGTTTCAATTTGGGAAATTTCTCTTGACATATTACATTGCCTACAGATACTTGCCTGGGTTGTGTCCAAATTATTGATAAGATCATCAAAGACATTCTTTACTTCTATTACAAATGCTTTCTGATTTCTGTCTTTTTGATTCTTTAGAGTTTTCATCTTTCTGTGTACATCATCCATCTGATCGTGCATGTTTCTGCTTCTTCCACTGGATCTCTCTTTTTAAAAAAAAAAAAAAAAGTTAGAGGCAGAGAGAGAGAGAGAGAGAGAGAGGTCTTCCATCCACTGGTTCACTCCCCAAAGAGCCACAATGGCCAGAGCTGCGCCAATCCGAAGCCAGGAGCCAGGAGCTTCTTCCGGGTCTCCCACGTAGGTGCAGGGGCCCAAGGACTTGGGCCATCTTCTGCTGCTTTTCCAGTCCATAGCAGAGAGCTGGATGGGATGAGGAGCAGCCAGGACTCGAACTGGTGGCCATATGGGATGCCAGCAGTTCAGGCCAGGGCTTTAACCCACTGCACCACAGCACAGGCCCCTGGACCTCTTAACATATTAATTAGAGTTATTTTAAATTCCTTCTCTGAAAAGTTCAACAGTACTGTTATATCTGAGCCTTATTCTCATGTTTGCTTTATCTCTTAAGACTATATTTTTCTAGCTTTTCTATCATGCATTGTTATACTTTGCTGAAAGCTGGACACAATATAAAGAGGAAAAAGAACTGAGGTACAAAGGCCTGCAGTGGAAGTTGTGTGTTAATCTGCCTAGAAGTTGGGTTGTATTTGATGTGTGCTATAGCTCTAAGTCCCAAGGTCTTTTAATATCTAAAATTATTTTGTTTATTCTCCCTACTGAATTCAGGTTTCCCTAAGAACTTCTTAAATAGAGTATAAATTGTATAATTCTTTTAGCAAAAATCCAATGATAATAAACTGAAACCCTGCAGATGTGCTGGTAAACAGTAGGGGAAAAGAAGTATTCTATACATATATATATATATATATATATATATATATATATATATATAAAATACCTGGATGATGCTCCAGGATCCTGTCTTCAGATCAGCCCAGCTCCTGGTGTTGCAGCCATTTGGGGAGTGAGTCAGGGATTGAAGACTTCTCTGTATTTCTCTGCTTCTGCCTCTTTGTAACTCTGCCCTTCAAATAAATAAATAAATCTTTAAAAAAATTTTAAAAATAAAAAATTCAAGTCTATTTTAGAAAATGTTAAGAAAAGAAAACTTTAAAGGTCAAAACTGCTAATTTATTTATTTTTTTAAAAAGATTTGTTAATTTATTTGAAAGTCAGAGTTACACAGAGAGAGAAGGAGAGGCAGAGAGACAGAGAGAGGTCTTTCATCCAATGGTTCACTCCCCAGATGGCCGCAACAGCCGAAGCTGCGCCAATACAAAGCCAGGAGGAGCTTCTTCCAGGTCTCCCATGAGGGTGCAGGGGCCCAAGGACTTGGGCCATCTTCTACTGCTTTCCCAGGCCATATCAAAGAGCTTGGTGGGAAGTAGAGCCGGCAGGACTTGAACCGGTGTCCATATGGGATGCCAGCACTGCAGGCAGTGGCTTTACCTGCTACCCCACAGCACTGGCCCCTGCTAATTTAATTCATATAAATACTGACATTCTATTATTTAGTAGAAGACAAGGACAAACTAATATGAGAAAAGGGATTCTCCAAAGTGAATGTGTTCTTATCCTTTCATTCTCTCTTAACCCCCAAATGAAAAGCAGTATTCATCTACAAAAGACAAATGAGAGCTTCACAAAAAAAAAAAAAAGTATTCATAGATTAATTAGCATAGGATACTATTCCAAAAGCAAAGTTTTAAAATCCTTCAACTCCTGCTGTTTCTCAAAGTGAGAAATTCATTCAGTTCATTTTCATTCATATAAAGATTGCAAATTAAGCCACTATTTTCATGAATTTACCTATTTTTAAAATGTAAATGATCTAGAAGTTTTGAATGTAGGTACTATATAGCACATTCTTTAACTCACTTTTACTACAAATTTGCACTGGCTATTCCATTAAGAATTAATGGCAGGGAGGTATAGATGTTTAAATCTGAAAATCACATATAATACTCTTCTATAAGAGCTTACATTTTTAAACAGGGTTACAAATTTGAACAGAATTCTTTTATATTTGCCTTTGATAAGGTTGATGATATATTATTTATCCTGCCCAGATATCTGAAAATACATAATGCATCTGGGAATATGCACAAACCCACAGGTATGTGAAATAATAATTTTAATCAAAAAGGATTTTATACTGCCATTTTTCATATGCCTGGCAACAAAGATACTGCTATTTCTAAGTTTTCTGGTAGAATATTATGCCAAACAAGATATTATTCAATCAGATATTGATCATCATTCTATTTTATACTTAAGTGATGGGGGGTACAGACAAATCAGAAAAAAAATGCATAGTCTCTCTAAATAACATTAGTTTTATCATATTTATGGAAGTTCACTGAAGTAGTTACCTATGAGGAATATTGTATTTGACTCCTTAGGGTGCATTTTGTATAATAATTTCAAGAATTTGAAACTCACATTCTTTCAGCAAGTTACAAAATTATTATTTCTTATATCAAAAATTTGTTATTTTGTATGATTTCCCCATTTCAGCACAAATTATTTATTGCTAAAAGGTTTTACAAGACTACAGGATATATATTACTTCTTTAATATCCTTTTAAACAAAAGTAGAATTCATTTACAGGGAACATTTAATTATATCAGCAGAGTAGGAAAGTTGACTAATTTGCTGTATTCTTATGAAAATGTTCATAAAGATAACCTCATAATGTTTATAATGTAGTTTTGATCTTTATTGTCTATTTTCCTATAAGAAATCTGATATAATATACCACAGATGATAAGGCAAATGTATCTTCTATTTATACTTTCTCAGCACCCAGGTAAAAAAAAAAGGAAAGATATAACTTGTTTCATTCATCACATGGAACTATACTGTGATCATCCAGTAGTGTTACTTACACAGAGATCTTTCCAGAAACTTGACTTGATAAATTATCAACCTCACATGTTACTAGATGATGTTCTAATTTTCATAAGGTATCTTACCCCAAAGCAATGCAAAAAGAATTGTGAAGCATGTGCTATCTTAAATTGCAAAGTAAGTTCATGTTTGTTTTAAGTCTGAAATGGGCCTTGGAAATCTTATAAATATCACATTCACTTCCCCAGTTTCACAGATTAGAAAACCATGGCTCTGGAAGGATACAGAAGTGATAAAGC